GTATGCTATTATTATAATATTAATATGTATATGTGTATATGGGTATATTATAATAATAATATACATGTATATATGTATATGTATATTGTATATATGTGTATGTATATATATACATATATACATATATGATATATTTATGTGTATATACATGTATATATGTACATTATAGTATATGTGTAAGTGAGTTTAATAATAATAATATATGTTATTAATTTTACAATATAATATATGCATTTTATACATTGGTCACCATTAGGACTAGCTAATCCTCCATTTCCACATGGGATTAGTAGTCCCCTCCTAAGGAGGTGTTTTTGGTGGGCCCGGTATTAGCAATCCCATCTAAGACTAGGATTAGATAAAACAAACATGGTACTAAATTTAGTCCAAGCCAGTCCAAGCCAATCCTGTGTACCAAACGAGCCCTGAGAGTCTTAGCAAGGGCAAAGGCGGAGCCATCCACATATTTGAGTAGCCTATGGCCAATGAGAAAGGGGCGAAGTTGAGCAGTCCAGAGAAGATATAAAATTGGATTCAGTAAGCTTGATGAAATTAGCCAAGGTTGGGCCAAGAAGGGAGGAAGTCAATGTCGTGGAGGAGGAGGAAGCAGAAGCATTGGTGGTCATGGTTAGAGAGGAAGGAACAGGTCCGGAGAAGGAAAAGATTTTGTTAGAAAAGGAGAGTGGCTGATACCATGTAAACTTTGTATTTTAGATTGATTTGATAAGTGTAATACATGAGAGATTTATACATAGTTGACAACCCTAGTAGAGATGTACAAGGAAGGTAAATCAATATTAGCATGTATACAAATATGGAAGGAGGATTCCTATAACGGAGGAAGGGCCTAACGACCATGATTTGATTGCGTGATAATATAGTGGGATTCAAAGCCATATTGTCCTAGAAATATCAAGAATCCTATGTAGTGACAAGAAGGCAACTATTGATCAGATTATTATATCAAGGATCGTTTTGTAATAATTCCTTGATCTAATCTCCCTCCATATATATATTGTTTAATTATATCTCCTTTCTTGTTTCCATATCTTATGTAGCTAAGCATTAATTCAGGCCCCAAGTCAATATGATATGACTTTGGAATTTACTTTGTTTCCGAGGATCATGACTCTTATCATTTGGCAGAAAAAAAGAAGAAGAAAAGATATCACTCATATCACGTTGGGATGTTCGCAAGGGATAATTACTTCGGAGTTTCTGAGTGTTGGTCGCCTAGTATTGTTTCAAACATCAAACCTGTCAGGTGTATTATGCCAAACTCTCACACATATGATTTTGCTATTTAACTCTCACCATGCTTGGAAGTAGGCACAGCCGTGACCGGTGTTTCAAGTGCTACTTCTGCCTCGTGGCCTACGCCACCCTCATCTTCTTCATCTTCACCATCTCCGTTTTCATCTTCTGGCTGATCTTTCTTCCCCAAGAGCTCAAATTCACTGTCACCGACGCCTCACTCACAAAATTCAGTCTCACTAACACCACCACAAACACTACTCTCTATTACAACCTTGCGCTCAACATCTCTATAGGAAACCACAACAAAAAGGTTGGTGTATACCTCAGTCACATCCGGGCCACGGCCAACTACGGAGATAAGAGTTTTGCCGTGGTGAACAACATTTCGACTTCTTTCTACCAAGGCCACAAGAGCATAAGTACGGTACGTGCTGTGTTTGAAGGACATCAAGTTGTGGTGCTTGAGGAATTGGAGCTTTCCAGGTTCAACTTCGAAAGACGTGCTCGGGTTTACAATATTGATGTAAAGTTGGGTCTTCGGGTAAAGGCTAGGTATGGGAAGATCGAGACTGGCTATTTAAGTCCCCCCAATGTCGATTGCCAGCTGGAAATCCCTTTGAGTAGTTCTCCTATTGAAAGATATGTGGGTGCTATGTTTAGGCTCACCGATTGCGGGGGTGTCGCCCTCCCACTCCTTGTACCTTAGGGCTTGTAATCAAAAGAAATAAAAATTAGATTGGTCGCGTTTTCACTTAAGACCATGTACTTTGGGAGTTTACACGAACACCCTTGAGGGTTTTAAAGTGGTTGCAATTTAAAGTCTCTATGAAGATTTCGTCATAAATTTACTGACAAATCCAAAACTTTGACAAGCAAGTGCGGACCATACTCAGCTTGAGAGCTTGACAGAAAAATGTAACGATTTTTCCATTGATGATGACCAAGTCTCTACACAATATGAGTTTATTGAAACAATAGGAAAAAAACTTTTCTTCACAAAGAGTATATATGATATATGATGTTTACATAAAGCATTTATTAATTCTTAGCTTACTTGCCGTTTTCCCTTCCATCTAGCATCTCTTACACGTTATTACATATAGCATTTGTTGATCGGAAATACTTTTGCTCACCACTTTAACACAAGGTTTACCTTCATCACCCTTTTCAACACTTGACACGTGTCCATTAGCATACCCATAAGTATTTATGGAACCATGGTTAAGTCAATGAGCACGTGTCAAGTGTTGAGGAAGGTGGTGAAGGTACACCTTGGTTAAAGTGGTGAGCAAAAATGATCCCTTGTTGATCAAGGCTCTATCTGAAATTAGTATATTTGCAGCGCACTGTGTACATGTAGACCTCCTTTGATAAACATAAATACTTCCCTGTTCCCATGTCTAAAAGGATCGGTTGGTTGTGAACTTATATGGTTAAAAGGTTTACTTTCTGACTTAGGGGTCTGCCATAACCAAGCCATGCTTCTTTTTTGTGATAATCAAGCCGCTCTTCACATCGCTTCTAATCCAGTCTTCTATGAGAGGACCAAGCATATAGAAGTCGACTGTCATTACATCCGTGCTCATGTTCAATCCAAGGTGATTCAAACACAGTACACTCGAAGTCGTGACTAGCTAGCAGATATATTTACCAAAGCACTGCCTGCAGCTCAATTCCAACGGCTACTCTCCAAGCTTGGATCAATCAATCCCCTTGATCCAGCTTGAGGGGGAGTATTGAAAGTCAACTCCAAGCTGCCTATAAGCTGGACAATTCACTTCCTTTATCGGCTGGTTATTTCACCTCTCCCACAGATTAGTTGTTTATCCTAGGCTGTCATGTAGTTGTATTTCTTGTTGTTGTAGTTACTTGTAATTTACTCTTCCTTAAGTCAAGGAGCTAATTGAGGAAATGGCATGGTTAGTTGTGCCTCTTCTCTTGTATATATTGGTTACTCATTGTAAATCAAAACTCACAAGATAATTGAATTTCATTCAGTTTTTCTTCAAGTAATAACCACGATATGATACTAAAGTCAACTAGTTGGAAGCTTCCAAGTAGTACTTCCTTCAATAACCTCCTTAATCTGGCGTTTGACTTTGAAGTGTTGCTGATCCTTTATAATTCTCTGTCAATAGAGAGAAGCCTATAAACTTCCCTAGGCAAACTCGATCTTTCACACCATTAAATCCAGCTGATTTTTTTCTTCGCAACCGTGTTTGGAAGGAGTGGCCTCTATTGCTTCTGCTTTTGCTTGTGCTACATCACCTACTTCTTAATCTTCCTGGCCTTCTTCATATTCTGGTTGATCTTCCTTCCCCAAGAGCCCAAATTCACCATCACCAATGCCTCTCTCACCCAATTCAATCTCACCAACACCAGCATCAACAACAACACTATCCACTACAACCTCACCGTTTTACCAAAGCCGTTTTCCAACTTTAACTCGGAGACTACAAATGGGGTTTATAGCATTGATGTGAAGATTTCTTTTCGGATAGGAATCAGATTCGGCAAGGTGAAGACGGGTTATTTCGAGATTCCAGGGAAGAGCGACTGCAAGCTGAAGGTTCCTTTGAGCACTTCATTTAATGGAACATTTTGAAGTGGTTTCCAGACCTCCGAGTGTAAGAGTTTTCATATCTTTGGTGACCCTGATGCGTCTCCTGCCTAGCAGATTTTATTTTGTATTTTACTCCCATGTTTAAATAGTTTGACATGGCCACTCCCCTTGTTATTGTTATATGCGTACCGCTCTCAATTCTTTCTTATTTGTTTTTGTCAAATCAAAACCCCTTAGATTTAGAGCAACCATGCATATTATAAAATAAAAAAAGTAGTATCATTGTAATCTCTCGGTTCGGGTCGGGCATTTTTGAAAGTCAACAGAGTTGGGCCTAACTCTGAGCCTCCCGACGTGGCCCCAACCCAACTGCTACAGTGCACATATATTTCTTGGTAATAAAACATAAGGTGAATGCAAATAAAATATTGCATTATTGGGGCTTGACCATCCAATCACAATTCTGGCATGGCATTCGAAATGAATATTTTGTGTACTTTTCTTTTTCATTCTCCCAAACCCAATGCCGAATCCTTTGACATCAAAATGTGGAGAAATTATACAATGATACTGTATCACCACGTCAGCTGGTGATACTTCCACTCAAAACTTACCACGTGTCTTTTTTGAAAAGAAAATTAACTTTTTTTCACTGTTAGACTTTATCTTCCAACTTTACCCCTAATAAAATAAAATAAGAACTGTAAAAACAGGAAAAAGAAAACAAGAAGACTGTAGCAGTTTCCCCTTTCGGCAATCTACCTACCTTGCACTGCCGCCGCTTGGCTGCAGTCCCCCTCCAATAATATCAACATCAAACATACCCTTCTTTCACTAGTGGGTTGTCGTCATAGGAGATTTTGAAGATTTTTGTTTTATGTGTTAATGGGTTTGCACTGATTTTCAAAATTTCTGGGCTTTCTAAATACGTTTAACTTTTTACTAAGAATGGGAGGCACGGAAAGGCCGGGTGGGTGGTGAGGGAGGAGGGAAGACGACTGGGTGGCGAGGGAGATGTTTAGACGGCTAGGTGGCGTCAATAGCACAGGGAAGAGGGGGGAGAGGGGTTAGGATAATTAATGTTGAAGGGTAAACTTGTAAGACAAAGTCCAGGTGTAAATTCTTTTTAATTTTCTTTTCAAAAAGGACACATGGTAGATCTTGAGTGGGAGTATCACAAGCTGACGTGGTGATACTGTATCATTGTATAATTTCTCCAGCCTCACAACTTACTATTTTTAAAATTACATAAACTAAAACGGGAATACTTATAAGATAAATACACATTTTATACGCGTCTTTACTAACAATACAGAGTCTCTACGCCTTATATATACTTGTAACTTGTAACCCTACCATATTTCCCTATACCTCAACAATCTCACACTCTTGTTAATTAGAAATATTATAAATCATATTCATTTGAAAATCTGTTTGTCCCTCACCCCTTCTCTGTCTTTCTCTCTCAACCATGCTAAAAAAAATTTGCTGCTGTTGCTGCATCCTTGTTGTAATACTTGGTGCCCTCAGCGGCACAGGTTGGTTCGTTATCCGGCAATTCAGCCCCTCGAAATCCGTCATCTACAAGGTCACCGATGCCTCGCTGACCCAATTCAACCTGACTGCGGCCAACAACACCATCCAATACAATCTATCCCTCAACATGACTGTTGAAAACCCTAACAAATGGAATGACTTCCACTACGAAAATTTTGAAGCCGTTGCTAGTTATAAGAACCAGGATTTGAGTAATAATAGCTTGGCCCCCTTCCGCGTAGGGCACAAGAATTCGTTTGTATTGACTCCATCGTTCGAGGGGCAACGACCGGTGGCTCTTTCTAATGATGAGGTTTCGAATTTTAGGAATTCTACAGCTTTCGATATCGTCTTGAAGCTCTATTTTAAGTATTGGACCAAGATTGGTGCGGTCAAGATTAACAAGGAGCTCCAAATGGCTTGCTATTTGAAGGTTCCATTGAGTTTTGGCGGAAAATCAGCTGAAAAATTTGAGAGCACCAAGTGTGATAATTAAATTTGTTTCATGTACGTAGTTTTTAGAGTTTAGATTACATTTTTGTTTAATTTTTCTTTCTCTTTCAAATTTTGTTTCATTGTTCATTTGAAGACTTTATTTTCTGGTTTGCTTTCAAATTAATAATCCTAATCAGAATCTAGGAACCTTTCCTTTAAAATAACGGCTTTCTTATATGTGATGATGTTATCATGGCAGAATAACGTAGGATTACTAATTCATTCAAATTAAAACACATACAATTATTAAACCCAGCATAATATTTCAATGATTATGCACATGTCATAATTCAAGTGAATTTGTAATACTAAGGTCAAGTAATGTTTTCACACAGTAATTCTTTTGAATTTTGGACATGTTCATTCAGTTTAAATCCTTCCTAACACTTTTAGCCTGAATGAATTTGTGCTCTGATACCATGCTAAAATATGAATATGGGTTTTGAATATGTTAGGTTCTTCTTTTATTCTTCTCCATAAGGAGGTATATATAAGAGTTTACATGAGTGCTTTACAAGGAATTAGATATAGAAAAGGATTAGGAAAGTATCTCCTAATTATACAATGATTTGACAACTATATAAAATAGGAAAGTAAATCCCTTAATTAACCAAGGAAATAAATCTATAAAATAGGAAAGTAAATCCCTTAATTAATCAAGGAAATAAATCTCCTTGATTAATTAGGAGACTCACTTCAACATTTCCCACATGCAAATTTAAAAGAATTTGGTTACGTGTTTGTGGCCATTGGACTTAAAGCAATCTAGATAGTTGGAGATGGATCATTCAAGGTAACCCGAGTGCCACTATCCGGATAAATGCTAGGCTTACCACATTTTTCATACCACATTTGTACCACCTCTCTAATAGAGGTGGACCCCATTGTATTGGTGGGCTCCACCTCTATTAGAGATGTGGTACAAATGTGGTATGAAAAATGTTGTAAGCCTAGCATTACCCTTCCGCTATTACTTTCCTTTATTAAGCAACCAAACAAAATGCTTCTATGCAGCCTCCTTTGTCTTTTTAAAATCAAATAAACTCACACCTTTGTGAATTTTGATAGGTGCAAAGGAGTTAAATTCTATTGGTTAGTAATATAATTTACAA